GCTAATATACATTTTTGTTTAAAATGATGTCAGCTACATTTTTTATTTGAAATATTTTTTTCTACGGTGTACAATTTATTCATAAATCGATTTTTTGCGTTTTTACCACCCTGGAGGGAGAGGTTTAGGGGGAAGCCCGGAGGTAAAAGTGGTAAACTTTTTTGCAAATTTTTTTGGTCCCAAAATTAATATTCGAGGCAAAATTCAGCTTGTTCGTACGATTTTTAGAGGTTCAGTGGTATTTTCGTCTCTGACGACTGGAGTATCTTTTTTTTTTCAAACTCAAAATTGTACGATTTGGCCTATAAGTGAAGGAAACATTAAAAAAATTGTAGAGTAGTGTAATTAGTGCAATAAACATTTCTATATTACATTATTACTTTCAAGTCGATAAATTATATTTCTTGACTATAAAAAATAGCTGGATAAACTCTGAAATTCTCGTGTAGTGCTCTGTTGATTATCTTCTAGACAATCATGTGTCACATAAAACTAGTAACAAATTACTTTCATGTAAATATAACGACTAATAATACCCTGTAACATATGCACTATGCAAACTTTGAAATGTTTTTAGAGTCGATCGTAAAATTGATGGGAATAGTTTTACGGTTGTTAACCAGTCGTATTAACCGAGAGTTAATCATATATGATTGAAAATGGTTCAATAAGAACACGTATTTTTATATTTTGATCCTTTGACTAAATATTTAAGGCCTATTACATACTTTTTTTTTAGAAAGATTTGGTTTTTCATTAATAATCATTTAAAACATATGTGACACTCTTGGGAGTACCGACAGAAGTGAAAGCTATTATAGACAGACCTATCTTTTATATTGTTCTGAAGCTATTTTCTTGTGGCATTTTAAAGTAATTACTATTTAAATGGGATTCAGCCACAATTAAAGGTTAAAATACGTTTATTGACGTTTCAATTTCCACTTCGGAAATCGTTCTCAAAATACAAACATTAGTAAATTAAACAAATTTTGTTTTTTTTGTTACTTGGTGAAAAATTCTTCTAATAATTTAATTTTATCTGACTCATTTATATTGACAATTCAGACATACATTATACATTTTAAAGTAGACGACTTTAAAATGATATTGCCAATAATGTTGAGTTGCGCTCCTGGGACGACTTTACTTATAAGATAGTTAGTTCATTTGATTACATGAAATCAACTTTAACTTGAGAATATCCATCAGAAAAAATCATAGCATGTAATTCGTCTTTAAAAAGACAAACACATGCCATGATGACAGTAAAATTCTCCTGTTAGTGATTCCATAGTAAATTATGAGGGAAAAACCAGGAAAAAAACCTCATAATACTATCCCGACATGGTAAGTATTTGGTCGTGCATTTAGTTTACTTTCAATAAACACCAAATTCTGATTTTATATGTTTGTTATTTAAATATACCAATTTGTGGATCTTTGTCTGCTTAAACAGTTTATTCATATTAAAAAAACCACATACATATAATATTGCATAACTACTGTAATTTATATTATTTTATCTTTTTGTTTATCTTTATAAGGCAGCACCCTAATATGGATTTTATTATTTCAGAATTTAATTAACTTTGTATCGATAGACCTGAAGATGTTTGCAAATTGTAGAAAGCGAAACCGGTCGTCTAGGTATAGTTTATTTTTATGAACGAGAGAGTAATTAGCATAATTTTAACTGATACCTTCGACCACTCCATGGGCGTGCTCAAGATTAATTGAAAAATTACTTTGAATAATTGTAAAAAATAAATGAATTATTTCAGTGTTATAAAGTGTTATGTGTATGTAAACAAAAGTGACCTCTTTTATCACACACTATATTAGAACTGACTGGCCTACATTAAAAAGGGTTTTAAAAAATTCCCATTTTTTTAAATTTTTAAAAATTACAAAAGAGAAAAAGAGTTTTTAAAACCGTCTAAGGTATGTTAAATAGATGAATAAAAATATTAATATAAAACTTACAGCTGCTTGTTACAAATCCAAATCAGATTCAGAAGATGAACTTTCACAACTATTTCACACAAGATTTATAATAACTGGCTCGATCATTTTATCAGTAATATTGTCCAGCTTTCACATTTTTTCCTCTTCTTTAATAGTGTGATTTACTGCCTTTTCCCAGTTTTCAGGTTTTACATTATTTACGGCCTCCAAAAACAACTGTTTAACATCATGAATTTTAAAAGTGGTATTTTTTCTTGAAACATCACTCTTTATCTGTGCCCATACCAGTTCAATCGAGTTTAATTCACAACGATATGGTGGGGATCTAAGTACTGTCATTCCACGATTTTTGGCAATTTCATCAATTTCGTATTTTTTAAATTTTTCTTTATGAAGGGCACACAACGAATAAAGTTCCTTTCTTATAGATCGGGGATGGTACGTAATATTTTTTGAACTCAGCCAATTCTGCAAGTCTTTTTTTAACCACTTGGTTGTGGGCAGTCCTTCTATAAGTCTGGAGTGATAACTTGCATTATCCATTACTATTACACAGTTCTTAGGAAGAAGATCTATCATTTATTCGAACCATTCTTGAAAGACATCAGCGTTCATATCTTCATGGTAGTCACCGGTACGAGTTGATTCAAAAGTTAATAAACCACCTTCAACAAAACCGTCTGAACTGCCAATGTGTACTATTATCAGCCTGCGTCCCTTTCCTGATGGTGGGTTTAAACCAGTAGATAAGTTATTTACAAAAGCGTGCCTTTGACTTGTAACAGTTTCATCCTGCCAAAATTTATTTGGTGTATGTCCTCGTTGATCCATGTTTCATCAAGATAAAATAGTTTTTTTTGGTTTCTCATTTCCTTTATGGTTCTTAGAAAATGTCTTCTGCATATGACAATATCGCTTCCTTTCTAATAAAATAGACTTTCTGGGATTCTTTTTCCAGCGGAAGCCTATTTCTTTTAAAAGTTTCCATAACGTACTTCGACTCATTTCTGGGTAATCCTTATCATCTCGAACTGAGACAAGAACTTTATCCAATGTTGGAAATTCTTGTCTAAAGAAGAATTCATGCACTTTCCGTCGCAGTCCTTCTTTAAAATGATATTCTATTTGAAATTTTGGTTTTCCTGGAGCATTACGTGGCATTTGAAAACTACCATATTTCTCTTCTTTAATAACTCTGTAAATCGTATATTTCCCAACACCAAGTGTACTGCTAACTAACTCAACGGTCTCATCAACACTTTCATATAAACGTTTGTCTGTAAATGATTTAAAACAATTAAATATTAATGTTTTTTCATTAACTGTTAAAAGGACCAATTTTTCGGCGTTTACACGGCACTTCCAAATTTTCCATAACACTAGTATACTACAATAAACTGCACCTTGCAACTGAAGTACCTACTTTTAGTGAACTGTTAAGAATTTTGAATACGCCACTTGGACCTTCCTACAAAATGGAAAAACCCACTATCACATTTTCTGTGGAATAAGTTTAGAAGGTAATTATCTAGTCAATTACTGTCGTAGATTCCTGGAATTAAAGAATTAAATGTTTGATTGTTGAAACCCTTACTTCGTGGAATGCACTCATTTCAGATAAAATAAAACGTTTTATTTTATCTAAAGAATTAAACTTTATTTTGCAAATAGGTAGGTACTTATTAAACTTTTATTGGTTATATATAACCAATAAAATAAACATCTTACATTTCTTGCAAATTCATTAGTACCTATTAACCTCCATCACTCCGACACTGGCAACCTTATTTAGGGATTAGTAACCCTCACAACTATTGTATTCTATTCTGCTCCAACCTGTATACCTGGTGGTCATACTCAATTTAAAATTGTTTTCCTATATACTTCTGTAAACTTGTTGACAAATATCTGTTTTTCATTGAGTCACCCGTATCAACAGTTTAGGGATTTTTCATACATAATTTATTGTTTTATTACTCTCTCATACATAAAAATACACTATAGTTAAATTAAACTAATTGTGAGTAAGTCTTATTTATTATTTGTTTTACCTTATAGAAGGACTGCCCACAACCAAGTGGTTAAAAAAAGACTTGCACAATTGGCTGAGTTCAAAAAATATTACGTACCATCCCGGATCTATAAGAAAGGAACTTTATTCGTTGTGTGCCCTTCATAAAGAAAAATTTAAAAAATACGAAATTGATGAAATTGCCAAAAATCGTGGAATGACAGTACTTAGATCCCCACCATATCATTGTGAATTAAACCCGATTGAACTGGTATGGGCACAGATAAAGAGTGAAGTTTCAAGAAAAAATACCACTTTTACAAATTCATGATGTTAAACAGTTGTTTTTGGAGGCCGTAAATAATGTAAAACCTGAAAACTGGGAAAAGGCAGTAAATCACACTATTAAAGAAGAGGAAAAAATGTGGAAGCTGGACAATATTACTGATAAAATGATCGAGCCAGTTATTATAAATCTTGGTTCTGAAAGTTCATCTTCTGAATCTGATTTGGATTTGTAACAAGTAGCTGTAAGTTTTATATTAATATTTTTATTCATCTATTTAACATACCTTAGACGGTTTTAAAAACTCTTTTTCTCTTTTGTAATTTTTAAAAATTAAAAAAAATGTGAATTTTTTAAAACCCTTTTTAATGTAGGCCAGTCAGTTCTAATATAGTGTGTGATAAAAGAGGTCACTTTTGTTTACATACATATAACACTTTATAACACTGAAATAATTCATTTATTTTTTACAATTATTCAAAGTAATTTTTCAATTAATCTTGAGCACGCCCATGGAGTGGTCGAAGGTACCAGTTAAAATTATGCTAATTACTCTCTCGTTCATAAAAATAAACTATAATGATGTACCATACATATGGTCTATTCCCTTTACTCAAAACCCTAATTGAAATGATTCACTTTAAAAATGGAAACATTTTTTGTCTTAACAATGTAAGAAATAAATAAAAACTAGAGATGGAAGAAAACTTAAATTCCCTACACGTTACAACTTACTTTGTAATTATAGGTATCCGATTGGTTGTTCAAGTTGATTGGAGCACTTATAGGTGGAGTAGACTTACAGCCACAACAACCGCACATGTTCACTTCCGTAAAGTTTTCAAGCAGTTCACGTCTCAACTTTTAAAGTTTTTCTAAGCACTGTATTTAATAATATTTTTAAAAAACTGTTACGGATTCGAAAGTTGTTGATTCGATATATTTGTTCTGGAAAATAGAATTTGGTAAACTTGTTGGAAGGAAACTAAATTAGGTCAATGTTAAATGAAAGTCGATACCGAGTTGGATAACAATGAGCTCAGCTTTGTGAAATTTATTTTATACTATATTCATTGATTTTCGAAGAAATATTAAAATTAAACAAAAGCAATCTGGAAAATGAATAAACATGATTTTATAAAGCTCCACGTTTTAGATAATATCCTGTTAAGAATAAAGAATATTGGTATTTCAATAATGGGCTATTAATCATAAAATCCAATAAAAATTTACTTTCAAAGGCAATAGACCACAAAGTGAACCAAGATATGAATAACACTTTTAACCATCGGAAGAAGATTGAAAGAATATACAGAACAATTAATTTAAAACATATATAATTTGGACTTGGAAATGTTATTTATAGACTTCAAACAAGCATTTGATTCAATTAAAAGGAAAGGGACAAGAGAAATCATACGATTTCCTACCTGGCGAAACTGAATTCAAATTTTTACCATTGTGCCTTCTGCAACTTGCAAAGCAAACAGCTTGATGAATTACTCGGCAAAGGAATCTAAAATATGCATTCCACCTGCCGTTCCTCATGGTCAAAATTCGTAGTGAATTCAGTTTTTGGTGCTCCAAACAGAGTAAAGAAATAAAACATAATGACGTATATGCCACTAAAGACATATATGCCACTGCTCTGAATCGAAACAAAATCTATCCCGTCGTAGGCCAATAAATATCGAAATACAGGGCAACGGCAAGCCGCTTATACCGCTCTGATGAGACCCAAAGAGGTCGAAATACATATAAGCGGCTTGCCCTGCATCGAAACAAAAATGTAAAACCGTCATTATGTTTTATTTCTTTACTCTGGAGTACCAGAAACTGAATTCACTACGAATTTTGACCATGATGAACGGCAGGTGGAATGCATATTTTAGATTCCCTTGCCGAGTAATTCATCAAGTTGTTTGCTTTGCAAGTTGTAGAAGGCACAGAGGTAAAAATTTGAATTCAGTTTCGCCAGGTAGGAAATCGTATGATTTCTCTTGTTGTTATTAGATGGCGTTGTTAAGTCTGTAAATAATTATTTCGATAATTATTGGCGTACAATGGGATAGATTTGGTTTTGATTGACTGTTCTGCTAGAGTATAGGAATAGTCCACACGATATGGCTTAACAGATTTACTTGATTTTATAGGAATAGCTTTGGCAAACTGTAACAATCTTCTCCTGATACAATGTCTAAGCATCGAATGTGATAAACAAATTAAACAACAGTAAGGTAGTAAGTTAAAGAGAACAAGATTTGGGAATAGCCATGAGCTCTTCATTTTCTTCGTTATTAGCAGATATATTCAAAAAATATTGTAAAATCCCACAATATGGTGAGATATTTAGATGATAGATGATTTGGCCAAATTTTTTATGGGCATTAACTGTAAATAAGAATCAATCAAATTCACCATGGAAAAGGAAAACAACAGTCACTACCATATCTGGTACTGTTATGAAAGTTGATCGAAGCCACTATTGGGGTATTTTTCACTTTGGTATAAATTGTTGAAGATCAAGATAAGTCTTTTTCCTGCGTCTTTATCCACAATTTTTAAACAATTCTGCGTAAAAGTCGTTTAGCCCTGCGGCATTTGCCTCTTTAATGCTGGTTACAGCAGCTTCAACTTCTGTTTCAAAAATAGGTGGTCCGGTATCGTCAATTTTTATTTTGTGTGATAATGACTCTCCTATTGTCTTCAAATAGCCTTTTTACATTGTGGCATGTTAATTTCCCTTGAATTTAAAATTTTTGACGACACTGTATTTTCAGTTAACTCTGTCTAGAGGTTATTAATTTTATCGCTTTGAACACGTATGTATTTAGATATGTACTTAGAACATTTCCTTTTCATAATAAATTATGTTTGGGGTTAGAATATTCAATTTTTAATGCGCACTTGTATGGTTCTCTCTTAATTTAGTCCACTTAAGAGCGATTTTACATAATCATTCTTAGAATTTCATTGGTTTTGGCTCATTTAGTTAAAGTGTAAATATTTTTTCAAGGGACCAGATATTTTTAACAAAACTACACTTCCCTTGCCCCAAAAATGAATTAGCTCTGGGTTAACTTATAAAAAAGCCAAAATCCAATTTCCTTCTTAGTTGCCCGTTTTATTTGTATATAATATGCATTCAGATGTTGATATTCACGTTGTTTAAAGTTTTGTTTACTCACATATGCGGTAAGTTGATCATTCTCCATTTTTAATTAATTACAACTGTTTAATTAATTGTTTTCCAGAATTCCGTTTTTAGCTTTTCTGGCAGATTTGCTTATCTCTCTGTTTAGCAGTGTCTAGACGCTCTTATCAGCCGTAGTCTTTTCCCTTTAATTCTCTTCTGCTGTCCACTATCTGTAATATACCAATCTGTTCCTTATGGAATTTTCTGACGTGTCAACGGGTGATCAACATGTATACATCCTACTGTGTGGTAATTAAAATAATATATTAGTGACTACTAATTTTTCTTCCGTGACCAATGTGAATAGTAGTGCTCCTCTCACATTTCGCTCTTCTAAATCCCATATATCTGCTACTTGGCCATAACTACCCTTACCGATTTTGTTTTATTTGTTTATTATCAATGTTGTAGCCATGATAGATGAAAGAGATATCCATATACACAGATCTGTAATGTAGTAGTTTCTCCCTTCTCTACTACATCCTTATGCTGTTGACCTATTCCTCGATTCAGCCGCTTTTAGATAGTTTACCATCCCTAGTACAAAGGAGTATCCTATCACTTACTAACTCAACCAAAGAAAAAACAAATGAGTAGCCCTTATCTTACTAAATGAAGAAAAATTTATAGCAAACACATCAAGAGAATGTAGCAGGCTCTAGTTACAAATACTTGAAAGAAGAAGTCGGCAATACGAATATAATGAAGACTAAGGATTAAAAGTGAAACTGGAACAAACCATGAAGTGGAGATATCCAGGAGTGGCTAGTATACCTGTTGAATACAAAGCACGTGGTGGTCGTGTGTATTAAGGTATAAAAAAATGCTTATTAAAAGCTTAAAACTTTTATTTTAAAGAAGATCTTTTCGGAATAAACTCATTCCATCATCAGTTTTAATAAAAAGTTGTCAAAAAAACATTGTATGGCCACATGAAAAAATAGTAGAGAACTCCGTATTAAAAAACTATCCTCAAGGTGTTTATGAAGGTAAATGCAATAGACTGTTGATTTCAGCCTGCAGATTACTAAAAACTGAAAATGGGGGCATCTTACATGACCCCCTGTAGTTGGTGAGATTTTATTGACTTACATTACCTCTGATCTGTGCTGGAGTCTAGGGCTAACTCGAGTTAGCCCTAGACCCTTGGTCACCTGGTCTGATTGAGAAGCAAAATGCATTTAACAAAGAAGGCCATGGAATTGAAATGTCATCAGTTATTGACATTTAATAAACAAAGCAGAATATTGGGGTCTCACAGCGAAAACTGGCCAGAAGATTTCATGTTGGAAAGACTACAGTATACAGGACCCTATCGAGTAACAATATTATCTACCAGGAAAGACAAAGGCAATAGTTCCAACGCGTTACAGGCGAGTGCATTTTCAGCAACAAGTTCGATCGTGATTGAGCGATAAAAATATTTGTTCGAGCTGCTTTCAATCAGTCTTGCTCTCTGTATATGATTCAAAATCCGCCGTCAGCCACTTTTACGCAAGTTAACACATGGTATCCCTTCTTCACATTCTCTGATTGTGCGATAAATTGTCGATTTGCTTATGTTTTGATCTCGATAAATATTAACAATATCTCGTTTCGACATTCGCCCAAATTAATGGACACAAAATAGAAAAAAAGAATGGAATAACAACATAAGCAGAATGGAGGAGAACCGTATCGTCAAAATAGCAAGAGATAAGTCACTAATCGGCAGAAGAAGTATCGGACAACTGCGCAAAAGATAGAGTGACAACCTTCCATAGAGGTGTTAATCCGTCAATGAACAATCAGAATTGCTTATAAAGGGGAAGAAGAAGAAGAAAATATTTTGAAAGCTATTTCCGGATTGTAAATTGAAACGTCAAAATAAATATAAAATGTAATTGAATTGTCGTTATCCCATATAAAATAATATTTAACACATACAGAACATAGAAGGAAAAAAAATAATGGAATCCTATTAGTAGAAGAAAAAATAGATTTACCAGAACATCCTAGATATACACGGTACACGAGGAAAAACTAGATGACGGAATTATACTAATACCTCACTATTCAGGTGTTCTTTTAAACACCTGAAGGCATTTTGTTAAAGATAATTTGAAAGTTACAAAAACGAAAAAAGTAATACTTTTAAAAACACGAGAGCTTAATAAGTTTTACACAAAAATCATAACGAACATATCATGTTCATTTTATATTTTTTAAATTAATAAACTAAACAAACAACTTTTGAATAACCACTATGATAAAAATAATTATCTCATTGAAATATGCTTCCAACTATCTATTAATAACAGTAGGCAAATTGAAATAATTCACTTGGGAAACATTCTTTGTCAACGAAACTGCTAATATATAGATAATAATTTATAGAAAATATTTGTAAAAATTAAGTATAATGTAATAATTTTTACTACTTAATTCATAAGCAATTCGATTAAATGTAGTTGCTCTTCATAGAAATTGTATAACATCAAAAGAGGGGACTCTATAAATAAAAAACTCTAAACACAAATCGTAATACTTATCAAAAACCTGCACAACACACTTTTACGCGCACTCAAAGCATGGAGCTTGGAACTTCCGTAATTAAAAAAATCTATCTTAGATAGCAGTAGCACCAGTAAACACACGAGCACATTTCAAGAGGATTTGACTCACTGGTTGTCACCAAATTTTTGGCTGAAATTCAAGTTCACCGAATTTATATAACAGATAATAAATAATTTGGCACTTGGCATCGCTTAAAAAAATAATATTTTCATTAAGTTTTTATCAATTAGGGATACGCTACACTAAAATATAGAACTAAATTGACTATATAAATAGTTTGGAATGATCAGAGCAGGTTTAGCTAAAGATCCAATGTTTTGTAAAACTGTTGCTGTAAATCGCGAGAATATTCTTCACATCTAGAACAGTTTATTTTGTAAAATTTTATTGATATAGAAACTTTCTTCACAAATATACTTGTTAATTGTCCACTGTCCCGCTCCAAATAATTCCACCACAGCATTTAAAGCAAATGACTGTTAATGTACATGTACATACAACTACTACCGTGCTGCATCAGTGTACCATCCGCAATGGAGGGCATAGAAATTACTGCGGGGAGGTCACCAGATTTCAATCTTTGGATTATTTTATGTGGGACCATCTGAAGAATGTTGTGTATCAAATGACACCAGCAAATATTCAAGAATTACAACAGAGAATTCGGACAGCAATAAATAATATTTCTCAAGACAATAAACAAGGTTCAACAAGAATTTGTACAACGTTTGGGTTACTGTAAAATACAGCAAGGGCTGCAGTTCGAACATTTATAAAGTCATGTATTTCATCATATTCTGTCCGCTAGACAATAAGTATTTTTGATAATATTGTGAATTTAACTAGCGCGTTACTTTATGAACACACACAAAACTATTGTATTTTTGTCCACCCTGTACCAATTTGAATCAACATGTGATACATTTTTGGAATCAGCTCAGCTAGTGTAATCTGAAAATAGAGACAAAATGGGGGTGTTAAATTTAAAAAAAATGACGGTGACGTCATTACTCGAAAGTAATTCACCCTGTATATTAGAATATTATTTTAAAATACGGTAAATTAAAATCAAAAATCGACCTGTTCAGATTATTTCTCAAAATGTTCTGTTTAGCTAAAAAAGAATTTGTTCCATACTTTACGGACACAGTGTATAGTTCTGAGGTATGGCCACTGAAAGAAAGAATATTGACAACGGTGAAAGGAACCTAAATGGATGTTTTAAAAAGAGCAGCAGGAAGATACAGAAGAGAAAGGATTAACAACGAACGCATTAGAGAAATGATTAAAATAATTTTTTTTTTTGCTTTATTCTAATTGAATTATTTTAGTTTCTCCTATACAAAACACCAAAATGTAGTTATGTTACTTTATTTAGAAATTTATATAATCGATTAACTTTGCCCTCAACTATCTCAAAAGAGTGAATTTGTTGTATAGTCACCTATGGTTCTGAGCCACTTACTTATCACCGGAACAAATTATCTGGTCATTAGAATGTATGCAAGAAGAAATGCAAGAGAAACCGAGGTGGAGCGAGGACATTGTAGAAAAGGAATAGATAAAAAGGTGAGGGAATGAAACCTAGAAGAGAACCTGTGGACGGGTAAACAAATCGGAACTGCACAAGACATAACACTTGAAGCGGCAGTAAAAAAAAGTGTGAAGCAGTTTAAAAAAAAATATGTGTAACACTCTCACGATTAAATTAATTTTGAGACAGTTTTTCAACAAACAGTGTTCAGTGTTTTATTAACAATATAAGTTAAACATCAACACCACTTGATTTATTTAACTATTTATGCATTTAAATAAAAGCTTATGTAAACTTACGAACGAATAATTTAATATGCAATTAATATTGTCATGAAAACTCTAAAATAAAAACAAAATTGATCTCAACACAGTAATTTTTCACATAAATTCACTTTAAAAGGTTCCTTTTAGAGAATCCAGCACGTTTTTGATAACAATTTGTCACCGAGATGTACTATTATGACGTCGGGTCGCGTCGAGACGGTTAACTTTCAACTGAACGCATTCAACTACAAAATTATTTCGAAATGCTTGTGCCCACACTCTTCGAAAACATTTAGCCAAATTGACTGGATAATTTTATTTATATTCGTATTTATAATGCTACAAGTACTTAGTACTAGAATGCAGTCTCGTGCTGGATTGACATTTTCAAATTTATCAAGTGATTTTCTAAGTAATAATGCAAATTTGTCATGTGTTTGTGATATATCCCTTGCATTTTCGACGTTAAAATAACTATACATATACATAGAAAATAAAACAATATTTAGACATGACAAAACTGAAAATCTTACGTCAAATAAAAGTAAAAAGTAAACTAAAAAGAGTGCCATATAAGCTTTAATGTTCTTCTTTTTCCTCTCTATATCTCTGGAATGATGGAGAATTCACCGGGATAAAGACAGGCAAAACAGATCATTACAGAACATTCACCAAAATTTACGGCAGACCAAAATTTTTCCCTGGACCCTTATGATCGAAAAGATGTGTTTGCTGCCCTTTTTGGTGTCCTACATCCAGTTTAGCTACCCCGTGTGGGATGAGGGCCACTCAAGTAGAATTCACCCACAGTATCTCCTGACTTGATCGTAAAAAGCGATTAATAGAAGCAGCATCCCGCTGTCCTCTTCCTTGAAATACTGTCGATACCTAACTCTCAACGACTGAACCCCGATACCCATCTTCAACTCACCCCGCTTGAGGTTGGAGTCCTTTGTCCGTGTGTGAGTGGCTAGGACCGTCTGGGCGTGAGGGAAGCGGGGCATGTCGTGCAACCTATCAAACTGCGTTCAGAACGTCCAAACCATACACGCACTCCTAAATATACCCTAGGAGAAAACCTGCCGCGAAATAAAACATCAAGTTGGGGAAGACTGATTTCCTTAGTCCTGAAAGACAACCAGTCTAAAAAAAAAGAATACCTTAAATAAAAATTACTTAGTCCTCCAGGTTGGGGGTTGAGACGTCAGCATGATTCCCTGTCACTTGTAAAAAACCACATTTAACAAAAAGCCTAAAAGTTGCCGCGGAACTTCGGATGGATCAAACAGACAACAACAACAGCTACGAAAATGGACAATGAACATTGGCACCTGGAATGTACAGAGCATTAACGGAAAGGTGGAAGAAGTCATCCAAGAAATTACCAAGTTAAACATAGACATAGTTATATTGACTGAAACAAAGAAGAAAGGATGTGCTGCAGAGACATTGAAGAACTATGTACATGTATACAGTGGGGTTGAGAAACATCAGCGAGCAAAAAGAGGTGTATCCGTAATGATACATAAAAAAGATCAACGCAAAATAACAGACTTTGAAGCCGTAGATGAAAATATCGTAAAAATCAACATGAAAATCAACCAAAAAACCTGTAACTATTCTTGAAATGCGATCTCTGATGATGAACCTTATGCTGTTAAAGACTAATTCTTTGAGAAAATCAATGACGAAATTACTTTCGTAAACAATCAAGAGGAAGAATGTTTTACATAATTTTACAGTTTCTAATTCCTGTTCACAAAATCTGTAGTTAAGGTCTCCGTTCTAAATGCCCTAATATATTCAGGAATTCTTTTGCTGGTGCATGTCCGGTCAATACTACTGTTACTGTTCTCAGTTTTTACCTGCACACATGAAGCAGTTCCTCTGTTCTTTTTCTACATGGTCCACCAATGAAGATTTTTCATGTGTTTGTTTTGGGATTTTCTTCCAATATCGCTCATGACTTTTCTCTGATCCAGTCCACTACAGCCCTACTCACTGTATCCCTGGTGCTCCCAGAGTTACAGAGAGTTCTTCTGATTCGTTCGATCATCTTTTTGCAAGTTGATCTGCTTTTTCGTTGCCTTCGATGCCCTGATGTCCTGGTGCCTAGACAAGCTCAACCTTGTTCCGGTTTCCAAGTTCATTCAGTTCTTTAATGGAGTTCCACACCAACCAAGACGTCACTTCCTGACATGCCAGTGCCTTCAGTGTCGCTTGACTGCAGAAAATATATGGATCTGCTCTTTTTCTACAGATCTCTTATTATTTCCTTTTGAACATTACAGTATCGCATAAATCTTCTGCTTAAAAACTGGTGCAGTTCCTTCCCAAGACAAAGATTTCGCTAATTCTTGGATTATTGGAGTATATTCCTACCTCCACACCCTCTATAGTTTTGAATCCACGTGTATACCAGATCTTACCCTGTTGATTATGTTACTTCTTGTTTCTCTGTACATTCCTGTCTAGAATAGACACCTATATGAATTCTTAAAATTGTATTTTTGTCATGTTATCTGTTTCTCATTAAAAATGTCCTTCGTCACCAGTCCCTGTGATACTCACATGCCCTGTCCCTTCATTGCAAAGTTTCAGTGATTATTTTATTTTGTAGGCACCCAATCTTGCTTCTCATTGTATTTTCAAATGCAAGAGAGAACAGTCCTAGTAGAGCCTCCATAGCTGCTGTTGGAGTAGTATACTCGGCACCAGTTATCCGCATACACACAGTCTTTGCACCTTGATGCAAAAGATGTCCAAGGAAATACTTTTCATTTCAACGATATTTGTGAAATTCATGTAAAAAAAGCTCTGGTATTCACTACTATTTTAAAACTTCATTTGCACAAGAGTAGTATAGATCAGTTGATACAACCAAGAAAAAAACAAGAAAAGGTTTAAAAAACATGGATATTATAGAACTAGAAAAGGCTTAGACTGGCAGCTTGCCAATAACTGAAAAGAAGAAAAAAGACCTTACTTCCTTTGTGAGGAAAAGAGTGCTCCATCAGTTCATGCTGATTTTTACCGACATTTAAAGCATTGTTGATCATATATTTTCCTATTATTATCAATATATACTCTTTTTTATTTCGTTCTTCTTATAGTTGTGAATAGACACATTTTCTCATTCAAGTAACTTGTAGTATTCTTTACTAAACCTTTAATTCAGTTGATAGGAATAACAAAAAAATCCCAGTTTTGTCTTTATATGTCTAATGTAAATTTCGTGCTTTATTACGACCCTATTGTTAACTCTTCTGCACTGTATATTTCTCTTATTGTGGCTTCTATTGTCAACGTTAACTCTTTCCAAAATTTTATCTTTGCTTTGTGCGTTATCAGCATCGTCTGGTGTATGTACTACTATAATAGTTTTATTACGGCTACACATGTTATCATTTATTTCTATTAGTAATATTCCTTCTGACCGTGCTTTTCAGAAGTATATCTGTTTGTCCAGTCTTTTATGTATTATACAACCTAGACCTGCAGCTGCTCTTTTATCTTGTGATACTCCGTTATATATTAAGGTATAATATGATTATTTTCCATTTTTATCACTGCTTGTCCTTTTTTCTTCTATATAATATAAACTATCACAGGTAAGCTAGCAATTATTGAAAACGAGCTAGCAAGATACAATATAGAAATCTCTGGACTAGCTGAAACTCATTGGTTAGGAGAGGGCCATTTTAGAACAGACAATGGCAATTATATTTACTTCTCTGGCGGTGAGACCCAGAACTATACAGGTGTTGCCATTCTGGTCTCACCAAGATTACAAAAGTCAGTTGTCGAATTTAAAGCTGTGAACGATAGGATAGTACTCATTAAACTGGATGGCAAACCACATAAACTTAATATCATACAAGTTTACGCGCCAACCAGCACATCAGATGACATAAAGATCGAGGAGTTCTACGAAAAACTGGAGACCACAATCGCTAACATACCAAATAAAGAACTTACTATAATATGTGGCGACTTTAATGCAAAAGTTGGCAACACTACACAAAATGACGACTTAAAGAATGTACTGGGAAAGTTTGGCATAGGGCAGAGAAACGAAAGAGGAGACCGTTTAATCGAATTTGCTATCACAAACAACTACTCTATCATGAATACTCGATTTAAACACCATGTACGTCGACTTTATACTTGGAAAAGTCCTGGAGATAGATTTAGAAATCAAATAGATTACGTCCTCACCAATATTCGCTGGAGATCGTCCATTCAAACAGTCAGATCATATCCAGGGGCGATATGCGGATCCGATCATACTCTCCTCGTAGCTAAAGTAATGCTTAAACTTAAAGCACCCAACAAACAAAGAGAGATAAAGAGGATAGAACTAAGAAAGAAAGAAGACCTTCTACAGGAAGTACAGAAAAGTATGCCCTCTATTCGTAACGGAACATCACAAGAAATATGGGAGACTGTTAAACATTGCGTAACAACACCAGTGGATCGCTCAAAGAAAAATAATCCGGTGAAACGGAAACACTGGATAACAGATGAAACTCTTAAAATAATTGAGAATAGAAGAAATCTTTGTAAAAGTGGTGTACATAGTGAAAGGGAAAAAGCTAGTTTAAGAAACCTCAATAAAGAAATAAAACGAAGATGTAAGGCCGACAAAAAACAGTACTATCAAAGTATATGCAAAGAAATTGAGAGACATGGTCAGAATAATCAGCCGAGAGATCTATTTAGAAAAATACGCTACCTGACAAGAGACTTCAGAGCCAGAACTTGGGCCATTGAAGATAACACTGGAACCCTGAGAACAAACAGAGAAGACATAGCAGAGACATGGAGATCGTATTGCAGGGACCTATATAAAGATGATCAACGCCAAGAGCTTGTTAGCCAAATCTCTGACGAGGTGGAAGAAGAACCTGATATACTCGAAAATGAAGTAAGACAGGCTATCAACAAGCTCAAATATAACAAAGCACCAGGTCCAGATATGATAACAGCAGAAATGCTTAAAGCCACAGAAGAAACCGGCGTAAAGTTACTTCATCTACTCTGTAACCAAATATGGCATTCCAAACAATGGCCTGAAGACTGGACAAAATCTACAATAACGACCATACATAAAAAAGGCAGCTTCCATAAATGCGACAATTATAGAACTATCTCTCTTATATCCCATGCCAGCAAGATAATGCTACATATAATCAATGAGAGACTGAAAACATTCCTTCAAAGAGAAATTCCACAAGAGCAAACTGG